TTAACTTCAAACGAACAAACTGTTCTTTACTATTTGAGTTGGTTCTTTTTTCTATTATACTCAAATTTCATATTTTTAGTTAATGTTAAATGAAATTAAAATTTATAAATATTTTCTAGTAATGGAGCAGAACCTAAAACATTCAGAAGAAACTAATGCGATATCAGCTAATTTCCGCATCAGAAAAATACAGGTGATTTGTTATCTTATTTAGTTAAATTTATATAAATGCAGAGAGTTAAAAGTAATACTTAGCTATGTGTAGGTGACTCAACTATATACCTAGATCAGGTAATTTTATTGTATAAACAAATTCAGAAAAACTAAGGAGGTTGTGAAATTCTTTGTTTATCTCTATAGAGAAAAAAAAAGTTAGAGAAACCTGTATACTAGAATCAAATTGAGTAAAATTAGATTTTTTTAATAATCAATTTCCTTTATAGAATAGACTAATTTTATGTAGTGAGTCATTTATGTATACGTACATGCTAGATTTAAAAAATAATTGATATTATTCAAAACTTCTTCAACAATTACTGTTCTGGATAGAATATATGTTTTATTTTTTAAAACTAAATTTAAGACACTAACTACTAAACTATGTATTTCAAGCCTCTAGACTTATTGATCTTAAAAAGATAAGGCTTTATAGTTTGTTGGCTCATTATACAACAGTGAACAAAAGAATCAGTCCTATGGTAATTTAGTGTAATATTTGTGATAGCTAAGTCTTAATATTTATAAAAGATACCAACTTGTATGTGTGTGTGTGTATATATCAAAAAGGATTTCACACACAAAAATTTTCATTTCAATTTACAGTATAATGCATTTACTAGTTAGGCAATCTAACTTATGCCAAAAATCTACTAAATTTAATGAGATCTGCCATTACAGTACTATGATAAAAAATATTTTCTCAACTTTAAATTTTTCTCTGAGATATCAAGGAAGAGATGATTAAATTCAATGATTTTCATTGTGTGGTAATTTTTGTAATGATGTTGAAAATCTCTGATGGTTTTGAGCTTTAATAATCACTTATTTCTGTTTGTTTGTCTTACAATCTAAATGATCTATTACCATGATTATTGCACTTTTAGAAAATGTAAGCAATATTTTTTTCTTTTTTAAAAAGAAATTAATTTATCAAGTCAAGGAACAAATTTTTGTCATTACTACAGAAATGGTTATATTTGAAAAGCTGTAGAGTAAGTAACAATAGTTCTTTGTGTACGTTAGGGATGTGTAGGACTGTAAATAAGATACTAGTTGAACCTAGGTTTAATAGTTTGATGACGAGGAACCCACTTTGAGACTAATAATGGTTGGAGACAGCTTGAATGGGTAATGAAGAAAAACTTTAATATAAGTTTAACATAACAGCAAATATACAACATTTCAACAAGATACTAGTGGAACCTAGGTTTAATAGTTCAATGACGAGGAACCCACTTTGAGACTAATAATGGTTGGAGACAGCTTGAATGGGTAATGAAGAAAAACTTTAATATAAGTGTAACATAACAACGTTTCAACAAGGTTTGTCATCATCACCTGACACAAATTGGCAAATGGCATTTAGATATATTAGACAAGTTATCTGGAGTAGTGATAAACAACTCTAGGCAGTAGGAGTCCAAGGCCTCACTAACATAATCTTATCATCCAAATCTTAATGCATAATATCCTAGCAGAAATTATTGAAGTATATCTAATTTACCTATCTCATGATGTTGTCTTATTCAAGTGACTCTGTGGTAAGTGGAATGTTTCACAAATCCACAAAGCTGATATGACCTATGTAGTTAAGATAGTTTTTGCTCCTGTAAACTGTACAGTTAAGATAGCTGTTGCCTTTGCAAGTTGTTGTGACCTGTATAGTTAAGATAGCTGTTGCCTTTGCAAGTTGTTGTGACCTGTATAGTTAAGATAGTTGTTGCTTTTAGAAGCTGATGTGACTATACACATAAAATAGTTTTGTTGCTAAGTGGCACAGATGAACAGAACGTTACCAAAATACAACTGACTTTTATATATATTAGATGATTGTCTATGTTTTCAGCTGTCAAACTTATCTGTTTTGTTTTCTATTTTTAGCACTCAATGCTTTCTCAAAAATTTGTGGAAGTAATGTCAGAATACAACAAAATTCAGATTGATTATAGAGAAAGGTGTAAGGCAAGGATTCAAAGACAGTTAGAAATAAGTAAGTTCATTATTAGCAACTTGTTTTGTCTGAGAGAAGGTAACTAGAGTTTTAAATTTTTTTTAATGTAATTCTGTGGTTAAGTGATATTTGATAATACTTCAAAAGTAGAAGCACAAAATGCAATGAAGTAGATTGTTGTAATATAAGTTGTTTTTCTTATTATTAATCTAGCCAGCTTGTATTAATCTATCTTTCAAGCTTTATTAACTTTTTAAAATGAGAGAATTGGAGAAAAGTAAAAAGCTAAGATAGAAACAAAAAATCATTTATAGGTACAAAACAAAATTTACTTTTGTTTTGTGACTATAACTTTGCTTTATTGTAATGGTTAATAAAGTTTTAGCTTATGCTAATATAAGTACTACTTCACTGTAAAATATTTAAAGTTATTTTATGACTAATTAATTGTGATATTGCAGGTAGGTATTTTTTGTCTCTCTTTTTTTTCAGTTTTACACTTTTGTAATCTTTTATGAATGATATTAGTATAGTATTTAGGCCTTTAACCCAAATGTAATGTTTAACCCTTTCGATATGGGTCACAGGTGAAAGAACATGTTATCTCTTTGATGACTCGCATTCAAAATTTTATTCAACTACTATTTCAAGAATTTATGTCAATAAGTTTGGTATCAAACTGTAGATTATAATTCAAATTGTAGAACTATACATTACTCAATTTGTTAATTTAAATGTGGTATGCTGAATGCAGCACTGGGTCAAATTAGATGTTTGTGAAGTCAAAATACTAAGTCTATAGTTTCATACGAATTAGAAAATCAAATTACAGATATTGACAAGCTAGAATATAAAATAAGAAGGTCATATCTTTTCCATTTGCTAATATATTGCTCACGTAATAAATCAAACGCAGTGGCACCCTTCCATCTATTTTCATTTTTGAAAATGCTCCTTTATGGACACTTACTTCTATATATGACATGAATAACCAATCAGAAGCTCAGAATGTCCCCCTAGTAGTTTTCTCAGCCTATCTAATATTCCTTCTGCCATTTCTTTCTTTTGAACGAAGATGTCAATGAGGTAGGGTGTATCTTTAGTCTGCTCAAAATTTCATATTTTTTTAGACTAAAATACATCTTACTTACTAAGCTTGATAAATTATAGTGGAATTATATGTTATTGATGTAGTAATTTATGATTTTTTAGTTATTCAAATGTATATATAAAACCTTAAAAAAAATGTTTTGTTTCATATCCTACACGTGCAAAATTTATAAAGGCTTAGCAACCTACTTCAAGCAGCAACTGAGTACAAAAGTCGTAACTAGAAGAGATAATTGTGTGCTTTACTTCTTTATTTACTGTTCTATGTTTTAGGAAAAATAACTTTGAGAACTTATTTCAAAATAGCAATAATCTATATACACACAAAATGTATAATAATTGAAATGTGACTGTATTTTACAAAATACTAGTCGACTAAAACACAGCCAAGACAAATTACTTTGTACAGACCAAAGGTCACCTTTATGTTATTTGATACGGTAACATGAGTGCACGTGAGCCATGTCGTTGTAACTTCTATATTGTTAGCCAGGCACAGCTGAAAGGTCAATATAATAAATATATATAAATGTATAATGTTATGAGATTTAAGCTATTCCATCTAAACATTTATGTTTTTGTGTTATAATTTCTATTCAATCTAGAATGAAAGAGGCATAATTTATGTTTATTTCCTAATTTTTTATGGCGGTTGCGAGATCAGTCAAATCTACCGAACCCGTACAGAAATTAATTACTGAAGAAAAAATATTAAGTTTTTCTTAAGAAATGTTTGATAACTCTCTGGACATTATAATGATTTTGCATGTGAAATTTCAAAAGTTTCTGATATATAAAAGTATTTTTAATCTTAAAATGAAAATTACTTTGCATGATAGATGGATAAGATGTGGAAAAAAAAAGGCATGAAAGAAACATTGATTTACAAACCTTAAGACTTAATAAAAAAATTAGATATATTGCATATGAAAGCATTGTAATGTTTACTGATAATCTTCCAAATTTCGTCAACATTCGCTTACTAATTTAAAAGTTATAGCATGAAAACTATAATAAGCACAAAATGGTTATGAATTTGATCCCAGGGACCGAGTCTAGGCTGAAAGAGTTAAAAAGCAAAGTTTGATAATCGTATTATATTTAAATAGCCAATATTAAAGCTCAGCATGAATTCACATTGCACACTTGCTTGCTTCTAACATGATATATGGTGCTAAAATGTATTTCAGAAGTTGATTTAAGACTGAAATTTTAAATCTTAACTCTTGCACTGCCATAGGCACATATTTGTGACCTTTTATTTTTTGTTGTGTATTTAAAAATAATCTTGCACTGGAATGTTAAACTTGCATAAATTTTACACACCCAAGTATTAAAGCACAAAGCAATTATATTTTGAAAGTTAGAATGCTGTATCTTAGTATGGTCTTGTATTTCTTGTTATGATTTGAATATTCTGCTGTTAAAGTGATATGATAATTCAATAATTAGTTGTGTTTCTTGTAAATTGAGCTTACTGTAAGAAAATATTCTGATGTTATTAGTTTGTTTTCGTTTTTTTTCTAGAAATTCTTAAAATATGACATAACCTGAATCAGAACATAATAAAATAAGCATAGAGCAACATAGTGAGAGTGATGATATTGAGGCTCCTTGGTCAACTTCACAAGTTACTGGACCATTTTTTTATAAAATTAGTTTTTTAAAAAAGCTATTTCATGTTTAAAGATAGGAAAATTAATGCACTTATGATAATTGTGTACAATGTGGTTTATGTTGTATTGTGACAGTTCTATTCAAAATACACTCTCCTACCAAAAGTCATTGGACACAGGTAGTTATAAATGTCTTTATTCCAAGAAACTAATTGTGTGTTGGTCCGCCTTTTGACTTAATGACTGCTTCAATGCATTGTAGAAAACTGTCTACTAATTTGTGGTAGAAAGCTGGTGGTATTGTGCTCCACTCCTCCTTTAAAACATTAGTAAACTCCACTACTGAAGAGGGCCATCTTGGACTTGTCCTATTTCTACATTCAAGTTCTTCCCAAAGATGTTCTATCGGGTTAAGGTTGGGGCTCTGTGTTCCAATGTTTTTTCTATTTAAACCACGCCTTCACAATCCTTGCTTTGTGACATGGAGCATTATCATGTTGGAAGGTGTAAGGGTCAGTACCATAACATTGCTACAATGTAGGACACACAGAATTGTTCAGAACATTAGTGTAGGAATCAGCATTCATGGATCCATGCACTGTGACCAGTGGACCTAGACCATACAAGAGAAGCACCCCCAGACTATGATAATGTCACCTCCAAACTTCACTGTTGGGACAACACACTCAGGAAATAAGTATTCTCCAGGCATTTTCCATACATAAACATGTCCATCAGAGTGGAAGAGCATGTAGCGTGACTTGTCGCTCCACAGGACCAATTTCCATTAATCCATGGTCTAGGTTTGGTGTTCCTTGCTCCATGCCAATTGACAGTGTACATTTGTTTTTGTTATCAATGGCTTTTGGGCTGCAGCTGTTCCATGAAAATTAATGGCATGCAGCTCTCAACATGTCATGGAAACACTTATAAGATTGCCTGTGGCTGCTTGCATCTCCAAACACAGATTATCTAGATTCTGATGATGAGATGAAGTAACCAGTCTTCCCATGGTGTGTCAACTCCTGTCAGTCAGTATTTTATGCCCACCTGGTTGTTTCTTGGGCTCAGTGTCACCTGTGGACTTCCATTTCTTCAGCATGTTGCCAATTGTCGATATGAGAATGTTTAATTGTTGCACAATACCAGGTACAGACATTTTCCCCAAATGATATCCAACTATCCTTCCCATCTGAAACTCTGTTAGTACTTTCTGAGTACTCATCGTTCAGCGTACAAGTTTGAAATGAGTTCTGAATGAACCTTTATAGGCCAGACTATTTGCATATTCCATTGTCACACCCATTTTCCTGTAATCAGAGGTGTGTCCCATGACTTTTAGTAGGATAGTGTATATTCCATCTTAATATTATTTGATGGCAAAACAGACAGATTCATATTTAAACAATTCATAAACCAAATCACAAAGACAGCTTTAAGGTACTGTTAAAATTATTTTATACAAACTACTCTTAGGAAATAACCTTTATGAATATTTGTTTGTTTTAAATGCAGCACTCAATTGACTACTTCTGTAATGAAAACCATAAATGCACTTTATACATATGTTACTGTCATGTATTTGAAATTGCCAGAGTATTGATACTTTTTATTAATTCAACCAATGAAACCCAAACATTTCCAACATTGTTACTGTTGCTTATAAACCTGCTTACCCCCTTTTTGTACTGTGTAAATCAATTGAAATGAATGTTAAATGTGATGTGGTATAAACCGTATTAGTGCTTATCTTGCTTGTTGACTGGACTTAGAGCAGGGGGGTTACTTATGATATATAAAAATAGATTTTCTTGGTGTGTTAAAATCAGATGATGTATCTATATATGTGTTTATTTTCCCTTTTTACAGCAGGCAAAATTACAACAAATGATGAGCTAGAAAACATGCTAGAAAGTGGAAATCCCACAATTTTCACTCAAGGGGTAACTTGTTTTTACTTTAGCTCAGTACAGCTTTTATTGTTTGTGTAAAGAAAATGTACATATAAAATACTTTTTTATGTGAATATCCTAAAGATAAGAATTAATCCTTTCTTTTTAAAATCTAGTTTCAAGAGTTTCTTTCTTTTTTTAATTTTACATTTAGGAATTTTTCTGTGGAATAATAATTAATTTCTGATTCATTGTTTAAATTAGTGACTATTCACATTAAGTATCTGAAATTTGATTTAAGTGGTCTGAAAGTCATGTCCATTTTTATCATTCATGGTTGATAAGAGACCACATTTAAAGAACTGAGAAAGACTGGAAACACAATAAGCAAGTTGTTTTGTATCACTTATTAGTGGTTGTAATTGTTAATTTAATATTTACAATTTATGCAATATACATAAAATTGTATACAATACCAGGAAGGCTTATAATTGATGCCTCTTGGACCTGAGTAATTCTTTCTTAACATTCTATGCTGAATATTGTGGCTTTGAAGTATATTTTTTATAAATAATATTTTATTTATCATTTATCCTTAAGTGTTTAGTAAGTTTGGGTATCTGTTGATGGTAAATGTTAATCCACATGTGTGTAAGAGGTATACATTTTACACTACATGTTGTTTCACATTTGTAGGCTTTAAAGTACAGTCTGCAACTTTTTAATCCAAATACAATAATAATCATAAACAAAATAAAAACAAGGTTTCCAAATTCAGAAAACCTGGAAAATATTATTAATCAGTTTGCTTATTTTCAAAATACAAATCTATTTTCTCCAGATTTATATATATTAAACACACACACACACACATATATATATATATATATATATATATATATATATGTTGCTAACTCAGTGCACCTTAAAGTCACAAACAAACATTAGTTGTATATTTCAGTTATTTTGTAACACATGTTTTATAGTTTTCATATCAGGTGCACAGTTGATTATTT